ATAGTAAGAAAATATTAACTTTTTTTTAATTTCCAAGTTGACAACATTCTGAAACAGAGATTGAAGCACCAAACCCAGAAGTTTGAGTCCGAAAAGAAATTTATTTCAAATACTAATTGACTTTAATAATCAAAGCATTTCAGAGCCCTGACATCTCCTCCTTCATCAGGGCTAAAATTGAACATGAAAGGTTGATAATAAAAATAATAAAAGGATGATAATAATATTCCTTCACCAATCTTAAAGTAACATATATGCAAAGGTGTACTGTAAAAAACAAATAAACAATAATAAGAATAATAATAATTAGTACAATGAAAATAATAACATCTAAATATAATAAATATATGAATAATTACAGCATAAACTACGTTCATAAACACTTATGAATATCAAATAAAATTAATTAAATATTCTATGTTTTTAAATTAGTTGTGAACATACATTGTAATAGACAGTTTTTAATACAGTTATTACTATGCAGGTGCCATATCTCATTTTCTTTAGTATCAGAAATAATCTTTTTTAAAAAGTACTGTCATGTGGCCATGCCTTTTTTCTTCCTGATAACAGGTGGGGTTACAGGACACTAAATGTGTCTGTATTATACAGTCTGTTCAGTTTGAGGCAAGATACACTCTGTATTTGAGCAGGGGCATGTTCAAGAGGCACCCTGTGAGGGGGGTGTGGTACTGGTCAGGAGTTGAACAGACTACCCAATACAGGCATGCTGTGAGTCTGCACAATGTCCTGTAGCTCTGAATGGCCAGCCAAAGGATAAAAACTGACCACACTAACAAAGACCAGCTTCTGTGCTTTGTGCGGTCAGCTTGGAACAAAAACGAAAGGTGACTGGCAGGATCAATAAGTACTTCAGATGAAAGAAGTACATAAAAACGGTAGAGACTATGATTTATAAAATACGCATTCTGTATGTGAATAAATACATATTTAGCATAACATACACTTTAAATATAAGGACATATGGCTAGACATATATTCTAACGTGTCCATTAAAAAAAGGTTTACGCTGTAATTGTTAAAAAAAAGTCCATAAAAAATATTTGACAGTGAATTCACAGGGGTTAGGGATTATTACACATCTACTATTACAAATAAATGTGTGCCCAGAAAACCTCCTACAGTGGTGATAGATAGCATTTTGCAATGATATTAATAACTGAGGGTGATACATTCATTATGCAGTAATAGGATGTGGTAGTAATGATATAAATTGGGAGGGAAATAGAAAAATGATCTGCTGAGGAAATACATGAAAGTGAGAGCAATGAAGTAGTGCGTTACCTTAGCAGAGTGTGAAGTTCACAGTCTGGGATTCAAGACAAAAATTATATATATGAAGGAGAAATGAGGCTACAGTGAGAACACTGAATTTGCTGTCAATTAAAGGACAGAGTGGAATGGTATATGTACTTATTGAAATGTCTGGGTATATACTACAACACATTGGGTGAGATTTACTAAAACTGGAGCACTCAGAATCTGGTTCAGCTGTGGATGGTATCCAATCAGCTTCTAACTTCAGCTTGTTGAATTAAGTTTCGACAATAAAATCTTGAGTCTTATTGGCTCCTATGTAGAGCTGTACCAGATTTAGCATGCTCCAGTTTTAGTAAATCCCAAATAACACTCAGCCTCTTGTTAACCTCTTCCCATCCGCTCTATTGCAGAAATACTGCTACAGGACGGCACAGGTGCGGCAAATCGCGTATATATATGTGATTTTGCGTTTCTGAGTAGGGGGTGCGTGCGAGCCACGCGTGTCCTACCCGCACCACCATTCGCGGTTGTCAATCACCGGGTCCCGGACGGAAATGACTCCCCTGTCAGCTTGGGCACACTGCTCTGGATGGCTGTGCATCCAGAGCAGTGTGCTTACAGTGAAGAATAAAACACTAACCATCTGGAATATGCAGTTCAATTTTGGGCCCCATTGCACAAAAAAGAACATTGGGGAACTGGAGAAAGTACAGAGAAGGGCAACCAAACTGATAAGAGGCACGGAGGAGTTCAGCTATGAGGAAAGATTAGAGGAACTGAATTTATTCTCTTTTGAGAAGAGGAGATTAAGAGGGGATATGATCAACATGTATAAATACATCAGTGGTTCATATAGTGAACTCGGTGTAGAGCTATTCACCCTGAGGTCATCACAGAGGGCAAGGGACACTCTTTATGTCTGGAGGAAAAGAAATGTAATCTCCAAATACAGAAAGGTTTTTTCACATTAAGAGCTGTGAAAATGTGGAATAGACTCCTTCAAGAGTTGGTTCTGGCCAGCTCCGTGGATTGCTTTAAAAAAGGACTGGATTCTTTCTTGGATACACAGAATATAACTGGATACTAACATTTATAGGTATAGGAGCAAATTGGATCATGCTTTGCGGGTGTTTTTTCGCCTTCCTCTGGATGAACTGTGGGTATAGGATTATAACTTTTTTTTAATGGTTGAACTTAATGGACTTTTGTCTTTTTTCAGCCAGACTAACTATGTAACACACTGCCCCCTAGTAAAACACTCCCTGCTCACAGTTAATCCTTTGACCACCCCTCATGTTAACCCCTTCCTGCCCAGTGCCATTAGTACAGTGTCAGTGCTTTTTTTTAGCACTGATCACTATATTGGTGTTACTGGGGATGTCAGTGACACCAAGTCAGTTCCCACCAGTGTCAGAATGTCCACCGCATTCCCGCTATAAGTCACTGATCGCCGCCATTACTACTGAAAATAAAAAATACAAAAAAATTCCACTGTATATACCCCCATTTGTAAATGCTATAACTTTCACATAAACCAATTAATTTACATGTATTGGGGGTTTTTTTTGGACACTTAGCAGAATACATTTTGGCCTAAATTTATGCCGAAAATTGATTTTTAATTTTTTTTTACTGGACATGTTTAATAGCAAAAAGTCAAAAATACTGTTTTTTTCTCAAAATTGTCAGATCTTTTTTTAATAGCGCAAAAAATAAAAAATGCACAGGCGATTAAATACCACTAAAAGAAAGCTCAATTTATGGGGAAAAAAGGACGTAAATTTCATTTGGGTGCAGCGTTGCAAGATCGCGCAATTGTCAGTTGCAAAAAATGGCCTGATCAGGAAGGGGGGTAAATCCTCAGGAGGGCAAATGGTTAAAGACACAAGCTGTGCTGAAGTGATGTGTTTAAAAAACTAAAAGGTTGCCAGTGTCTCACTCCTGGAGGGAACTGGGAGGGAATTCTGATGAGAGGGATGAAAGGATGGACAGAATTTGGGGGTAGGTTCCAGCCAGGGGCGAACTGACAACTCATGGGGCCCCCAGGCAATAGGGGATCATGGGGCCCCTGTGTCCTTGCCCAAACTCAAAAAAAGCCTATGAAAAAGGTACCAGGGGCATCTTATGAGGCCCCGTAATGACCCCGGGCCCCAAGTTTCCAAATGGTCAGTCCGCCCCTGGAGCTGCGTAAACTGTTGGTGCTCTATACATTGTGTATAATAATAATAATATGTAGTGTGCATAGAGCAGCACACATGACTGCAACTAACGCACACTACTCATTCCAAACAAAAGGGAGTGAAGGGGAGAAGAAGATGTTCAGGAGCTCACAGAAAACATGACAAGGAGGCAGAAATACAATATCATGAAAGTTAGATTTACAGGGTCATTAGGTAGTGATTGTGTATGGATTATTAAAAAAAAGCCTATGAAAAAGGTACTAGGGGCATCTCATGGGGCCCCTTACTGACCCCGGCCCTCGGGCAGTGCCCGAGTTTCCAAATGGTCAGTCCGTCACTGGAGCCAGCTAAGTAGGATGGGCCAGGACCTAGACTGGGGTATGTGCGGGACTGGCCAATGAGTGGCCAATGGAATTGGTAAATCCAAGGTGGGGGTGGGGCTAACAAGTTCAATCCGAGCTTTTAGAACTGGGAGGAACTCCCAGACTGACAGCAGGGATAAGTGGCCTGGAGTGATATCTGAAGTGGTGATACTATCGCTGCTGTTAGGTTGGTCAATCATTTCCAACTGACAGCAAATTACCTGTGTACTGAGAATTAAGGATGAATGGAACACTGAGAAATGTATACCTCCAGGGATGAGGAATTATCTGGGGACCACACCAGCACAAAAGTACAACCAACTGGAACATAATATGATCATCTATCTTCAGATTCCGGCGCCATTGATCTACCAGAGCTTAGAAGAATATATTAATGTCATAGTATTCAGTTTAAACTGCAGTAAACCTTAAAATAATATGTAGCTGTATGTGATTACTTTCCGATATCTCTAATAGATCACTTGTCAAGTATTAGGTGTTCCGCCTTCTGTTTCAAAGTTGTACACCCTAAAAGTAAAGTAATCCTTTTGGTAATTTTATTAAACAGACTGTACTCACATGCAACTGTACACCTGCACTAATATATGATAAAGATAAAACAATAATATGTATTAATTAAATGTAATGTAGATTTATAGAAAGTAGAACTAACACTAACTATAAGCTGTAATCAAAGGCAACCTAAAGAGGAAGCATAGTTACTGTTCATCTCAGGGCTTTCAGATATTCTTCAGACAAAGCCTCTAATAAGATCAGATTCACCGCTCCCTATCATTTTGGCATGTACTCCAAAAAAAAAGATTGACAGCACAGCCAGCCTCAGGGAGAACCCAGCTTTTAATAGCTCTTTTTGCCTAAACTTTTCTTTATGGTCAAAATATGATGGTGAAGCTTTGTAGTTTTAGGTTTTAGTGTAGTTATAGATTGTGCAGAAGTTTCACCTTTGAATTAGCATTGTAATGTTAAGCATTAATGTTGTGTCTGATTCGTCTGGGAGCTTTGTATGCATATTAATGTCATACCTCTAAATATTAATTTTATTAGTCAATTCTTGTTTCCACAGTTCTGCGATGTCTTGGAATTCCTGCAAGACTTGTCACCAATTATTTCTCTGCTCATGACAATGATGCTAATCTACAAACTGATGTCTACTTAGATGAAGATGGGAAAAACTAATACTACCCTCACCAAGGACACCATCTGGTGAGTTTAAAGCTTAAAGCTTGTTTTTTTTTTTCCATTAAAATAACAAATATGTTATACTTACCTGCTCTGTGCAATGGTTTTGCACAGGGAAGCCCCGGTCATCCTGTTTTTGAGTCCCCTTCTGGCACTCCTGGCTCAGGAGAAAGCTTGCAGCTTCCTATGGTGGCCATTCGTGTGGGCTCGCTCCCGAGCCCGGCTGTTGTATCTATTCAGACAAACAGCCTGGCCCACCCCCCACTCTCTGCTCACAGGTTTTGCCTGACAGCAGCAGAAGTCAATGACTCCTGCAGCTCTCAGCCAAGCCTGTGGGGGCTAAGAAGGGAGGAGAACTGCTGCAGACATGCACAGCACTGGAACAAGGTTAGACTCACTGGAGCAAGATTATGGGGCTGCAGGGGAAGCTGCATGTAAAAGGTTTTTTAACCTCAATGTAGAGAATGCATTAAAGTGTTACTAAACCCACAACAGTAGAATCAGTCTGTATATGCAGTAAAGCATGCTTGTTATACTCACTGTGGAACCTAAGGGGTTAATCCTCTGCATTGTGTAAAAAGACCATTTGATCCTGACTTCTTTATTCCTCCTCTTGTTCAAATGTCCACGACTTATCTCCTGATAAGACAGACTGAACCATAGCCATTCTGCACATGCTCAGTTTAGTGTGTATTGCTAAAGAGGTTTTTTTTTTCTTGGGAGAGCGCATGTGATCAGCACAGGGCCAATCAGCACTGTCCAGACAGAGGTCAGGGGTTAGGCATCCTACTAGACCAGAAAGAAAACTCCTCCTACAAGCTTTAACCAGTGCTCTGCTGAACACTGTTAGAAGTCACAAGACTGCTCTAACTGCTGATGAGAAAAGGTTTTTAGCAGTTTTATATATTTACTAAAATTGCTCTTCCACGTTGTGTGTACTGGGGGAGACCAGATATAGTGAATGCAGGGTCCTGGGTTTAGGAACACTTTAAGGGGAAAAAAAAACACTTTACAACCACTTTAAATCCAGGCAAAAACATTTGTTGGGTAGAGTGGTAAAGGATTAGAATCTCTTTTAGATTTTTTTTATTGCTGTCCATTTCCGTTAGAGCTATTTCTTCTTACTTCCTGTTCCAGTGACTGGAAGTCCAAAGGACAGAAAGAGATACTAAATCACTCCAATTTGGGCAAACAGAACAACAAAAACCCAGGGAGGTTGATTTACTAAATTTGGAGAGTGCAATATCTGGTGCAGCTGTGCATGGTAGCCAATCAACTTCTAACTTCAACTTATTCAGTTAAGCTTTGACAAAAAAAAGCCTGGAAGCTAATTAGTTTCTATGCAGAGCTGCACCAGATTTTGCACTCTCCAGCTTTAGTAAATCAATCCCAATGTTCAGTACAGTGGGTAAAGGTTAGGGTTTCATTACTTTGTTTGCCTTCCTGCCCCAATGACATTAGTGGGGGAGAAGACACTGTGAAGTTTAGCAGCACAAAGGACTGGGTAAGTATATCTTCTTTTCTATATCTTCTTTTCTATTACCTAGACCAGGGGTGGGCAAACTTTTTGACTTGAGGGCCGCAGTGGGTTCATATATTGGACCCGGGGGCCGGACCAAGAGTAGCTGAATGATGTGTATGTGTCATCCATAGTAAGTATAGTAATATTCCCCCATAGTAAGCATAGTAATTCATCCCCCATACAGTAATTCATCCCCCATATAGTAATTCATCCCCCATATAGTAATTCATCCCCCATAGTAATTCATCCCCCATATAGTAATTCATCCCCCATAGTAATTCATCCCCCATATAGTAATTCATCCCCCATAGTAATTCATCCCCCATAGTAATTCATCCCCCATATAGTAATTCATCCCCCATATAGTAATTCATCCCCCATATAGTAATTCATTCCCCATATAGTAATTCATCCCCAATAGTAATTCATCCCCCATAGTAATTCATCCCCCATAGTAATTCATCCCCCATATAGTAATTCATCCCCCATATAGTAATTCATCCCCCATAGTAATTCATCCCCCATATAGTAATTCATCCCCCATAGTAATTCATCCCCCATATAGTAATTCATCCCCCATATAGTAATTCATCCCCCCATAGTAATTCATCCCCCATAGTAATTCATCCCCCATATAGTAATTCATCCCCCATATAGTAATTAATCCCCCATATAGTAATTCATCCCCCATATAGTAATTCATTCCCCCCATATAGTAATTCATCCCCCATAGTAATTCATCCCCCATAGTATAGTAATTCATCCCCCATATAGTAATTCATCCCCCATATAGTAATTCATCCCCCATAGTAATTCATCCCCATATAGTAATTCATCCCCCATAGTAATTCATCCCCCATATAGTAATTCATCCCCCATAGTAATTCATCCCCCATATAGTAATTCATCCCCCATAGTAATTCATCCCCCATATAGTAATTCATCCCCCATAGTAATTCATCCCCCATAGTAATTCATCCCCCATAGTAATTCATCCCCCATATAGTAATTCATCCCCCCTATAGTAATTCATCCCCCATATAGTAATTCATCCCCCCCATAGTAATTCATCCCCCATATAGTAATTCATCCCCCATAGTAATTCATCCCCCATATAGTAATTCATCCCCCCTATAGTAATTCATCCCCCCTATAGTAATTCATTCCCCATATTAATTCATCCCCCATATTAAGTCCCCCCTGTGTCAATTCACTTACCTTTGCTCCGCGCGTTCCTCTCGCCATGTTCCCGCGCCGTTCCGGTGTAGCATGAAAATCTGTCTCCTATGAAGATCTGTCCCCCTCGACGTATCTGCGCATGTGCCAGTTTCAGGCATTAGCAGCCGATCGGCGATCTCCGGCACATGCGCAGATACGTCGAGGGGGACAGATCCTCATAGGAGACAGATTTTTATGCTACACCGGTCTTCAGGGCGGACTGTGAGAGGATACAAAAAAAGAGGGGTTGTGAAAAGAAATTCACAGAGAAAGCGGCTACATTATGAACAGAATGTGATACTCAGAAAAATTTCCAAAAATTATGCTTTATTACACATACAAATTTGACATATGGGCAATCGCCCTGGTTTACCATCACCTCAGTATGAGACAATACACACAGACCTAAAACCATATAAAATGACACCAGTACCGGTCTAAATACCTGTGCAAAAGGGACAATGACTACAAGAGTCTAAAGTCCCTATGGCACTGGCGCAAAGGTGAACACTTCCCAAAGGAGGTGTATACGAAAAATTATTATACCCTAGGTATACCATAACACGTGTTGATGAATGTGTAGACTATGCTACTACCAGAATGGTCATATCCCAAACAGGGAGTTTCAAAAAATTATACCATAGATATAAATATCACATGTATGCAATATAGCAAGCACAGTATGCGTCAAAAAGAAGACATGCCTCTAGGCCTATATGAAACAAAACGTAAATGTCATATAATGATGCAGTACATTCCTATGCCGGCACAAGTGGTTGGGGCCCATTCATCTGTGATTATACCCAGCTGTTTCCTAGGGCTCTTGAATAAAAATATGCCCCATTTTTTGCCAGGATGGAAGGATAGATGCATAAAGCAGCGCACTACTTGAAATGGTTTCTTCACCACTACATGTGGACTACATACCACTTTCTGTGAAAAAAACAAGACACATCCCAATAGATCTTCTGCCTGTTGAAATACATGTGGTATATCTTGTTTCCTATACAAAGCACCATGATGTCCCCATCCTGTAGTGAAACAGACAAAATGTGGAAAGTCACTGAAAGAGCATACACTCTATATAGGATATATAGGTCATATATATCACATAGGACCATATATCTAGTGTCCCGCAACAGTCCACTCACCACCTGTGTAATGGATAATAGGAGAGGAAAGAATATCCTTCATTAGTACTGCCATACAAGGCCAAAGAGGCCAGGGAACCACCGCTGACATCCGCCGATATACCGCGGGCTCCAGCCTCTTCTCGGCGCCCGTGCTGCCTAGGCTTGCCTCATGGCATGTGAAAATGGCTTCCTCCTTGTAGGTCAGCGTGCGTTCCACCTAATGCGCATGACCGGAAGTGACCTATCTGACGTATGACATCAACGCGTTTCGCCGATGGGCGTATCTCACTCAGCTTCGTCAGGACCAATCAGACTGTGAGAGGAGCCTAGCGGGAGCCTAGCTCCGCGGGCCGGATTAAAAGGTCCGCCGGGCCGTATACGGCCCGCGGGCCGTAGTTTGCCCATTGCTGACCTAGACCTAAAGGAGCAAATAACACTTGCAGTATTGGTACCTTCATGCAAAGAATGCATGAAGGTAAAAAACCTTCTCTGTGCAGCAGCCCCCTCCTAGCCCTCCTAATTCTCACCTAAGCCCTCTCTTGATCCAGCGATGTGCAGTCGGGTCTCGGCTATCCCGGGACTCCCTCTTCTCATTGGCTGAGACAGAATCGGGAGCCATTGGCTCCCAGTGCTGTTAATCACAACCAGTGAGTCAATGAGAAGAGAGAGGGGGCAGGGGTGGGCCGTGGATCCATGTGTGAATTGACACATGAAGTAGCAGGTGCCCCCATAGCAAGCTGCTTTCTGTGGGGGCACCCAACAGGAGGGAGGGGCCAGGAGAGCCTGCTGGGGGACCCGAAAAGAGGAGGATCCAGGCTGCTCTGTGCAAAACCACTGATGTTACTTCAATTTAGGTCAGATCCTGGTGGTTTGAATCTCCCACTGGCTTTTTATAACATTTGCAAACATAAGCAGCAATTTTTTTCATTAAGACATTATTTGTCATTAGCCCTTTCAAAATAGGATTAATGTGAAACAAAAGATTTTTGTACCCAAAGATTCTTCAAGTAGTTTTGAACATAACTGGGAATGTCTTTGCCCCATTGTGCAGATTTCCCCTCACTTCCTGTCTTGGAGATTCATGAACAAGTGAGTAGACATGTGCGGTTCGTTTCATTTCGAATAAAATTTCTGACAGATTTTTCGTTATC